ACTCTCTAGATGGTTGGCAGTTACACTGCCAGTTAATTATTATGAACTAGTAAGGGGTTTACGGTGGAGTATTCCCTACTTTAGTCTCCCATGGGAAGCTGGGAATGGCTTCCCAGTCTCTAGTCCTTTCACCAGTTCAAGTTCCTACATTACCGAGAATCATGGTTCAGAAGTTTTCCAAAGCAAGCAACTCGAAGAAGAGATTTTCAGTAAGGATACTTCACTATATGGGTTACCACTTACTCCAACGGAATACAGAACGTTTTTTGAGGTGAGAAATGTTTGATTTTCCTGTAAATAGTGATTCCTATTGGTACACAGTGGATATAATTATGACAGTTGTATTGTGCAGTTGGACAGTGAAAACATCAAACCTGAAGCTGACTATCTCCCCAATCCTTATAACTCGAACAGGTAAGCTAAATAGATCCATCACTTACGTATGTATGTTATAAAGCAGACAGGCTTTCAAGTACAAAAGAAGTAGTTAGTTTTATAAAGATTTTTTTTTTTTCCCTGTAGTAGGTGGAGGAATTTCGACAGGACCATGTTCTGGTTAGCTGTGATTTGTGGTACTTTGATTCTGTTACATGTTTTAGTCCTTTTTATCCTGAAAATGAGGAAGAAGAATTCAGAGAAGCAGAGCTCTTACGGAGCACTCACATTCCCCAGATTTGAAATATTTCTTGTAATACTTGCATTGCCTTGTATCTATGAGGCCTCTGCTGCTCTAGTTAGAGGTACTTTTAATACTAAATTATTTCCTTCCTCCTCATGTAATTTTTGCCTTTGCCTCTATAATCTTTTGTTATTAGTTTTCCTTTCTTGACTTTGGGAAAGTGAAAAATTCTTACTTTCATGGTTTCAGGAGGAATGCCATCTGGGGTTATAGTTGGCAGTCTATTGTTGGTTATCACCTCTTTTCTGCTGCTAGCCTTGCTCTTTTTCCTCTCAGTTGGCATTACGTTTGGAAAGCTCCTTCAATACAAGGAAGTGCATCGAGAAGGCCTGGAATTTCACTGGTATCAAGAGCTTGTCCGGGTGACCCTCGGTCCAGGCAAAAGAGGCCAATGGACATGGAAAGGTCAACCAAACTCTGTTTATCTAATCATTTTTGGCCCTCTGTTTGAAGACCTAAGAGGCCCCCCAAAGTACATGCTCTCTCAGATTTCTGGGGGCAATCCCCAGAAGCATGGTGAAAGTATCATTGCCTCCGATGATGAAACAGAAGATGCAGAAGCACCCTTTATCCAAAAGGTGTTTGGAATACTCAGAATATACTACACACTGCTAGAGTGTTTGAAAAGGGTTGCTGTTGGGGTTATGGCTGGTGCCTACATGGACAAATGGTCTTCTAAAACTCCCTCAGTTACCTTATTGTGCATCACCTCTTTTCAGCTTTTCTTCCTTGTTCTCAAGAAGCCTTTTATCAAGAAAAAGGTTCAGCTGGTTGAGATCATCTCCATTTCCAGTGAAGTAGGTTTATTTGCAACTTGCTTGGTTCTCTTGGAGAAGGAATTTTCAGCCGACGACAAGACTAAAGTTGGAATTTTCATGCTATTTCTGTTCCTAGTTGGATATGTAGCACAGATGATCAATGAATGGTATGCATTGTACAAACAAACATTGCTGCTGGACTCTGCTGAGAAATCCTTCTTAACTGGTTTGAAATTAGCTTCAATCGGATGCCTCTTGTTATTCATCCCACAGAGATTGATCAAGACCCTGGAAGAAAAGTTCCAAGTGGAAAGCAAGTTCCAAGTGACTCAAAATGCAGAAGGAGCAACAAGGGATCCTAGTTCTTCCACCGGCGGGTACCGGAGCTCCAGGAATCGGAGCTTAGCTGGCACGGATAAACCGTGGCTAAAGCAACTAAGAGAGATGGCAAAGTCCAGTTTTAGTAAAGAAGGGAGTGGAGTTACAAATGATCCTTCAAGTAGTCACACTCGCCCTAGATGGAGTGGTTTTTGGAGCGCCAAGAGGAGTGGTAGCTCTTCAACTCCAGATTCTTCTGTTGATTTCAAATCAAAACCAACAGGGTTGTACAAAGATTTAGAGGCCATTTTTGCATCGAAGTGAGACAACAGGGTTTTCCCAACAGCAAGATCCTCCAAGTCGTTTTGCAATTGCTTCTCGCGCTAGTCTCAACAGATGATGTATAGTTTGACAGAATTCACCTAACTACTAGTTATTGCTAGGATTGGATGATGATGGGTTCAAATGCAACATGACTCTCACAATGATTGGTTGAGATACTCTTATTTGTAGTGAAAAAGATTGATATAAACAGTGAGCTTTGGAGCTTGTACATTTTTGGTTATGCAGCATACCAGCTTTGTATGAGGGAATTGTTAACCTTTTAAACGAGGTCGGTTTGGACATTAAGCACAATATCAGCATACAAAATATGTCACTGTATGCTCACTGGTCTAAGAAAAAAAAAATTGTAACCCAAAAACAATTGGAAAAAAGTTATCATAGAAAATAAAAAATTGAATAGGATGATTTCCATTGTGTGTTTATAGCTGTGCGAAAATCAGGGAAAAAAATTATTATCCCAGTATTTAAAGCGTATAGCCGCCCGGCTCTACTATTTATTTAAAAATAAAATAAAAAAGGAACCCAGTATAGCCGCGCGGTTATACTCTGTACATATATTATTTTTACAACGTATAGCCGGCCGGCTATACTATTTATTTAAGCCGAACAATACAGGATCCCATTAGCTTCTAGCCGCCCGGCTATATTATTTATTAAAAAAATTAAACAGGACCCCAGTATCGCCGGGCGGCTATACTATTTATTTAAAAACATTTGAAAGGGGAACCTAGTATCGCCGCCGGGCTATACTCTTTACATATTTACAAAGTTTAGCCGCGCGGCTGTACGAGTTATTTAATGAAAAGGGACCCGCCCAGCGACTAGGTGGCCTCTTGTTTCACGAGTATAGCCGTTTGGCTATACGTTTAATTAAAAAAAATTTAAACCGTAGTATAGCCGTTCGGCCATACTATTGTTTAAAAAATTAAGAAAAACCCATTATAGCCGCGCGGCTGTACTATAAATCCGCCCCTTTTTTATTTTATTTTTACAGCTGATGTGAGGAAGCGTGTATTCCCAAGTGAAAAACAACACAGTCGATCCGAAAACAAAAAAACGACACTGTCGACAGCACCATCCAAAGCCCAATTGCATCTCTCTCTCTCTCTCTCTCTCTCTCTCTCTCTCATTTCTCTTCAATCTTGTCGTGGAAGCTGCCGACCAAGCTTGTGCCTTTTTATTGGGCTGCATCCGCATGCAGAATCTGATTCCAACACCTGTTCTTTTTGCATCTTTCTGTCTTCTACTTTCTTGACACCAAGCAGCCAGGCTCAACACCTTTGTCTCTATCTCTCTCTGTGTGAGTCTGATCTTACATCTTCACACATTTGTCGCCATATATAACATAAGACGTGTAAAAGAGCAAATGGGTTCTCTGTTAACCAAGAGTTTCAGCAAGGAACAGCTTGAAATGGCGGTCAGCAAGGTGAAGACCATCGTTAACTCCAACCCAGTTGTCGTCTTCAGGTTTTTCTATTGCTCTTTTTAAAAGAAACTAATTTGTTAACCAATTTGCAGATTCATGTGTTTCATTTTCATATAAATCGTGGAACTAAATGGGTTCCAGCACCAATTAGTTTTGATGCCCAACCCAATTTACAAATTCATTAGCTTTACTGTATTATCTTGTTCTTGATGTTTTATTTTTTATTTTTTGTGGGCAGTAAGACTTACTGTGGTTATTGCAAGAGGGTAAAGCAGCTGCTCACTCAGCTTGGAGCAACCTACAAGGTCATTGAACTGGATGAGGGAAGTAAGTCCTCTCTCTCTCTCTCTCTCTCTCTCAACCCTTTTTTTATTTATCAATTTTTGCTTTTGATAGAATTGACTTTCCAATTTCATTACTGAGTTCTCAACAATTACCATATTCGACTTCTTTGGACTTTCTTGATTGCTTAGTCTTAGAAGATTTCAAGACTTAAAATTAAATGAGAAAGTAAGTATTTTCTATGAGTTGCTGACTGTTAGTGTTATAAGTCATATGTTTTCTTCAATTTGCTTACAGTTCATGGCCCGTTTAAAAAAATAAAAATAAAAATAAAACCCAAGATGGGCAAAGGCTACCTAATGTCATAAGAATAAGAAGATGGGTTTTCTATGTTAGTTACTTCTGAATTTCTAATACTATATTGTTGGGGAATTCATATATTTTATTTTTGAAGCTGATGGAGATGAAACTCAAGCAGCTCTAGCAGAGTGGACTGGACAAAGGACTGTGCCTAATGTCTTTATTGGGGGAAAACACATTGGTGGTTGTGACTGTAAGTGCATATGCTATATTGTTTATATCATGTTCAGTGGAATTTGATATCAACAAAAGACCCTCAAATCATTTCAACTTAGTTGATTTTCAGTTTACTTATTTATTCTCTTTTTGGATCGTGCAGCTGTTTTAGAGAAGCACCAGGCAGGTCACCTTCTGCCCCTTCTCAGTGAGGCTGGTGCCATTGCCTCTAAGTAAAAAACTTCATCCCCTGATGAAGAGGTGAAACTATACATACCCGTATTCCTACATCAAGGCTGAAGGAACAGACTACATGAAAAATGTAATAATAGTTAATGAAAATAATGTTCCTACTTGTGTCATGTGCTTGGAAAAAAAGTAATGTTTTTCTATCAAGTTTCAGTTGCAAATTTGATTTGTTGTTTATGGACTTCAAATTATGGGTACACAATTGAGATTGGCTATGCCATCCTCGGTGGAAACTCAAGTTGTCTTGTCTTGTATTTGTGGTACCCAATATTTAGTGTCAATTTACACTTGAGGAGCTGAAGTTCTTCTAAGTTCTGCATGCTTAGCTTACCTGATAGGGATGCTTGTGATATATATTTTTTGGATTAACTACATTTTAGTCCCTGGAGGTTTAGGGTCAGTATCGAAATGGACCCTGAGATTTCAATTTCATCAATTTCATACCTTACATTTCAAAATATGATCAATTTACATCAGGAGTTACATTAACCATCAGGTCCGACGTTAAATGCTGACATGGTAGTTGTGGGACCTACCACAAAACCAATTTCTCTCTCTTTCTTGTGTTTCTCTTCCTCTTTGACACAGTTACTATTTGCACAATGACTATTCGTCTTTCTTGCTACACACAACGCCGCCTTCCGGCCACCTCCGATTACGGGACTGGTAAGAAAATGACCGGCTAATTGGGGGAGCAAGTTTTGTTCTTGAGCCCCGGCCAAGAACTTGGCGAAAATGGGTAAATCACGGTCAAAACAGTCAGCCATTTTGGGGGTTTTAATTCGAACTCTCAATCCTGAAATTGATCTAAACTACATATACCAACAGCAAGAACACATTGAGGGGATGAAAAATCGTACCTTAATTGATGTCAACGGTCACATGAGTCGCCGGAATTGGCATTGGAAGGCGAAACCCTCATTCTACCTTCCCAACCTCTCGTTGGCATCATGAGGAACTGGAGAAGTCGGGCCTTGGCCGAGACATGGTTGCCGAAAGTAACCGGTCATTTTTCGATCGATCCCATAGTCGGAGGTGGCCGGACAACCGCATTGTGTCACTGGGAAGACGAACAGTCATTGTTTGCACAATGACTGTCGAAGGAGAAGAGAGAGACGCAGGGAAGATAGATAAATAGGTTTTGTGGTGGGTCCTACAATTGTCACGTTAGCATTTAACGTCTGACATGAAGGTCAATGCAACGGTCGGTGTAAATTGGTCATATTTTGAAATGTCAGGTATGAAATTGAAACTTCAGGACTCATTTTGATACTAACCCTAAATCTTCAGGGACTAAAATGTAGTTAATCCATATTTTTTAGATACAAAGTGAGGTGGAATCAAGCCTAAGACTTCGGCTTGAGATATATATTAGGTGGATTCAGTGGTAAACCCACTTCAATTTTTTTTGCGAGTTCGGCGTATTTGGTATAGGGCCTAAAGTTATTGACGAGTTGGATATTTGTAGTGGGCTAGAGTAGCAGAGTTTCAGTTGTACAAGGAGGTGAAGCCTCCTAATGAGGGCCCAAAGTTCGAACATCTGTCTAGAGTCGGCCTAACATGCGAAGACTAAACGTGAGTACTGACTATTCTTCTCTAAGTAAGAACAAGAAATATGTGAATTTTTGCATTTTCATCCAGTGAGTTTGCTTGGTTTCATGTTACTAATTCTTGCATGTCATTATCTGGCAAACCACTAAAAATATGATGTTTCCTAAGTAAAAAAGCTCAGATTACATTGAAGAATATATCCAAAATGTGCTCTCTCTAGCTTCCTACAGTTGCAGAAATCTGTACACTCAAAAGTCTATACTTCAAGTTACACTTCACAACTCAAAAATCTATACTTAAAATTACACTTCACAATTCAAGAACTCAAAATAGAATCACATAGCACTTGCACTTCGTAAAGAAAGACTGAAAAAGTTAAAGAGGGAGACTGTACAACAATTCAATTTAAAAATGGAAGAGGAAAGAAAATAAGAGATGGGTAATTCCCATGACTTCAAAATAAGGTATTTACCACCATCATGGCTTCTTTTCTCATTTAGAGGTTTAGAATGCATGCTGTTGTTGCATTTCTGCCACGGAGTCCACTTTCCAGTACTCACCAGGCCTCTTCTTCTCATTACCAAGACCCCATTTCTCCTCTTCTCTCTTGTATTCAGCCCCACCACCATCCAAGTTTGAGATAGAAACTTTTCTCCATTTGCACCACATCCTTAACATGATATAAAGCATCACCAAGCAAATTACTGTGGATGTCAACACAATGGCCACTGTAATGCCAGTTACTGCAGCATCAGAAAGGTGCTTTTTCCTCTGCCCTTGGGATTCCAGGCATTTTGCTAATGGTGGGCCGCAAAGCTTGTCATTTCTCAAGAAGGAACTTAGTGGGAATCCTGAAAAAGTTGATGGAATTTGGCCCTGGAGATGATTATTTGACAGGTTTAGCATGTGCAGGCTGGTCAGCTTTCCGAGTGAAACAGGAACTTCTCCTTGGAGTTGATTGGAAGATAGGTTCAACCTCTCCAACTTTATTAGATTGCCAAGAGATGATGGAATTTCACCGGAGAATAAGTTTTTGCTGAGATCCAGGATGACTTGTAACTCAGTGAGCTCTCCTAGCTCAAATGGTATCAAACCTGTCAAGAAGTTCTCTGAGAGCCTCAGTTCATAGAGCTTCTTGCACTGCCTGATCGTTGACGGAATAGAACCCGAAAAATTATTTCTCTGAAGATTAAGAACATTAAGAGATGTGAGATTTCCTATCTCCTCTGGGATCATGTTGGAGAGACTGTTGCCATGCAGAGAAAGCTTCAGTAAGTTTGAACAGTTACCAAGTTCTGCAGGTACTGTTCCACGGAAGTTGTTTGACGAGAAGTCTAGCTCTCCTAGTTCTTGTAAGCTTCCTAACCATGGAGGTATTGTTCCTCTGAATTGGTTATCACTTAGCAAAAGGTGCTCAACTCTCTTACATGAAGACAATTGAGGTGGCACTTCTCCTGTGAGATTGTTGTAGGATAAGTCTAGAAAGTTGAGCTGTGTGAGTTGGCCAAACTCGGAAGGGATGGTTCCAGTGAGGTGATTGTGTGCAAGGCGGAGACGGCTTAAATTTCTACACATGGATAGTCTAGAAGGAATGGAACCTGAAAAGCTATTGTTTGTTAAGTCTATAGCAGTAAGAGAATTCGAACCGGAGAGAGGAAAGATGGTTCCACTGAACCGATTGTGAGAAAAGTTTATGATCTTGAGGTTTTTTAGAAGAAAAAGTGATGAGGGAAGAGGGCCTTCAAAGGAGTTGTTGTAAAGGGTGATGGTGCTTAGTTGTGAAATGAATCTGAATGTGGGTGGCAATGTTCCAGTGAGCTTGTTATCAGCCAAGGCCAATCGCTGAAGACTTCTGCAGTAACCTAAGCTTGGTGGAATAGGACCTGACAAGCCATTCTGTCTCAGTTGGAGTAAAACTAGATTCTTAAGATTTCCAATTGTTGCAGGGATGGGCCCTGTGAAATGGTTCCCAAAGAAATCAATTCCTGTTAAGTCTGAGCAGTTGGTTAGCTCTCTTGGTATGGATCCTGACATCTGGTTATCATACAGGTAAATGGTTTTCAACCTTTGTAGCTTTCCAATCTCCACTGGAATTCCACCTGTGATCATGTTGCCAAACAGATACAGATTTTCCAAGTAACTCATGTTTCCAATTTCAGGAGGTAGAGTTCCAGTAAAGCTGTTGTTATTGAGGACAAGATCAGTGAGATTCTCTAGGTTGTCAAGGGCAGCTGGTAGCTCTCCTCCAAAGCTGTTATCTGAAAGGTCCAACTGCTGGAGTGAGTAACAGCTCAGTACTTCTAAAGGAAATCTTCCAGTGAGTTTGTTTCGAGCCAGAAGAAGTTGTCGAAGGTTTGAATTTCTGAGGCAGAAGTTGCTTGGAATGCTACCTGTCAAGGCATTATCAGACAAAACCAGAGCTTCAAGATTCTTCAGTTGGGTGCTGAGAAGGTGTATGCTTCCTGAGAGGTTGTTTTGTGACAAGTCAAGCATCTCAAGTTGAACCAACTGGTTAAGCTCCGAAGGAATATCTCCGTTCAATCTGTTCCCTAGAAAATTCAAGTACTTCAAATTGGTGAGTTGACTTAACACAACAGGAATTGATCCAGAAAGGCTGTTGTTGGCCAGGTTCAGAATTTGCAGTAACTTAAGCGATCCTATCGAAGAAGGGATGCCTCCTTCAAGCATGTTGTTTGATGCTGCAAAGTTCTGAAGCTCTTCACAGCCATGAATCTCTTCTGGTATGAGGCCACTGAGGCTATTGTTCTGCAAATCAAGAGATATCAGGTGCTTCAAATTGCCAATATAAACTGGAATGCTTCCATTTAATTGGCAATAGGCAAGACCCAACACTCTCAACTCAGTCAAGTTGCCAATGCTTGGTGGAATTGCACCCGATAACAAGTTATCTCCTATCCTAAGAACTTGCAAGTTCTTCAAAAGGCCTACTTCTGGAGGAATCTCACCGGAGAGAAAGTTCGAATAGAGGAGAAGTGTTACAAGATTTTGAAGCTGTCGCAACTCAGGAGGAAGTGGACCAGTGAGGGAATTCAAAGACAAATCTAGTGTTTCGATTGAAGTGAGTTGCCAAAGCTCACGTGGGATAGAACCAGATAGTCCTGATCCAGATAGGTTCAGACCAACAATATGCATCTGATCATCTGAACATGAAAGGCCATTCCAACTGCATATATGAGCTCTTGGAGACCAGTTGTCAAGAACTCCTGCTGGATCAACCAGTTCTGATTTGATTCTCAGAAGTGAGATAGAATCTCTCAAGCCATCTCCAAGAGAAACAGCAAGAATAGCATGAAGTATTGCAAAGAACAGCATGAAATGAGCCATTTCAATGCTATGACTAAGGTTAAGTTCAGACCAAATTATCTTTTTTTGTTTTTTTGGTCGGAAGTTCAGACCAAATTATCAGATACTGATTCTGAAGATTTAGTATTGCTTCTCAGAAATGCCATGCAGAAAGAAAGGCAAGGCAAGAAAGAGTGAGGCAAATAGCAAGAAGAGATGGAATAAGAATTCAAGGAGGAGATTTGATTAAGAGGTAAGATAAGTTTAAAACTATGGTGGGATAATGGATGCTTGGAGTTTAAATAGTCTTCTGAAGTAGGCCTACCTAATCAGTTTCCAAAGAAAGTTGATAATAACAATCCATCAAAAGTAATTAAGCTTTAACCACAAGTTTTCTTTTTAAGGTAGCCATCTCTTTTTACCTTTTTTCTCAGTTCTGCTAAAAGATATGATGCTTCTCTCCTTTTTCTCTTCTCAAGGTGTGTATGGAATGCTGAAACATGTTTTAGAATCTTGTGGGGGTGGGGAAGTGCATGGAGATAAGGATGGTGCAAGCATGGCTAAAACGAAAACAGAGGAAAAGCATTCCACTTGCACCCAATAGTAAATTGAAGAAGTGGACCGCACTCTAGGCTATTTGAAGTTAAATTTAGAGTGGCTTTCTTCAATATAAATAAACCATCCATATCACAGTTATTCCAAAAAAATTGAGTCACATTTGACTTTATCATAGATTTAGTCAATTTAACTTCTAGGATTGTTAGTCCACTAGATAGGTATAAATCCATTATTCTGTTGAAACTATAGAATGCAGCAGAGGGCATGAAAAAGTTGATAGATTCATGCATCATCTGCTGTCAGCTTGCATCAAAGTTTTCATGTTTAAGTTTGAAGATTTTTTCTTTCTTTTTTCTTTGATTCAACAGAGAATGGAAAGCAAGAACCGAAAACTCTTGTTGTGAATGTGCGATGAAGTGTTCTCTATCACTAAATGACTATGTATGTAAAGAGTATATTGCATTAAGATTAGTATCTACCTTCTAGCCCTTGACAATTTTCTCATAATTGGAAGTTTTTTAATCTGTATTAATGAGTCGAAAGTTCAACCATGAGATATTTTCTAATTTAACCTAAACCCACCAAATACCAAATTAAATACAGGAAGAAAACATGAGAACCAAAACAACCCCATTTGATTGATCAATTTGACACAAGTGACCACTTAATCAATCATGTTGAAACATGCAATAGGGCCAAAGACCATGTGAGGTTTGGTGTAATAAGATCAAAAAATGCTGCGTTGGCCCAAATTAGGTCTAATAAGATGGAGAGAGAATATTGTCTCAGTATATATATTGAAGGGATTCTCATGCCCTAGTGAACCCAAAAAGAAGAAGACAAATAAGGTTGCTTCAAACTTGAGTTTCTAAATCTTTGATTGAGAAGTCTAATTGCTTACCTATCTATCAGCAATAGCTTTATATCCTTCCCTTCACCTTTGCTTTGTTTCTCAGGATCAGGAAGAGGCAACCAATATGGATGAAAAATTGACAATGGTTTGGCCCACTAAAATGCTTGACTAAAAAAGGAAAATATTATGGTGCCCCAAATGTTTATTTTTTTATTTTTTATTTTCAGTAAATATTTTTTGAATACAAGCGATAGTTTAAACCACCAAGAGAGGATTTCTCACACACACACACACACACACACACACACACACACACACACACTACCAAGGAGTCATGATGTTTGAAGTTGAGATAATTGGTCTACAAGTCAATGTCATTTTCCACTGTGCTAAACCTCGTTAGCTTATTTTTAGTAATATTTAGAGAAGAGAATTAGAACTTGCCCTCCTTTTAAAGTGGAGGTATGATTATCAATAAGACCAAGTGTTTGTACATTCGACATGTCGTGGTACTAGGTCAGCAACATATTCATGGCTGCAAATCTACATGTTCAAGATATGCTCATATATTTTCCTTTCCATATTGCAGCTGAATTTGATTTGTCAAACTCCCACTTAATATTCTTTTTGGAGTTTTCCCTCTGACTGTATAAAGTACATGCCGCCCTCAAGTCTAATCTGAGTTTTAAATCTTTGATCAGAAATAAGAGAAAGAATGTTTCACCAAACCAGAAGACGATCGAGTTTATATTATCTGGTGACTGAGAGACAAAAGAGAAGGTACATCATTGAAGTGAACTATAAAAACACATTTAACTAAGAAAAAGTTGGCCAAAAGGTGCACTTTCTGGCAAAAGGCGTTTTAAATATATTAATACGAAAACATAACATATATCAAATTATCAATAATAAATCCATGATTAGAATTTTTGATGACCTATGATATACTAAAATGTCGCTCATCTTCTGCATAAAATAGTATTTCCTGTGAAGAAAACAAGCATTTATTTCCAAACAAGCTATGAAAATGCTGATGGTCCTTTTATTTTAATGAAATACCTTTACTGGTCTAGTCAAGGATTATCTGTCCAAACCAGTTATTTTTCAGTAGTTTATATCAGTTAGGGTTGACTTTATTATCTTAATCTTTCATTGATATCTTCAGGGAAATGTTGACTTTGGCCTGCTTTTTGTGTATGATTTTGAAAAGATTTGGTGACCAACTCAAATTTGTGCAGGCACTTCAAAGACGGACCACTAAAGAATGACAGAAAGGAAGTTGTTATTGTAATTCTAAAAGAAATCATCATACATTCTTCTGATATAAACGCGCTTTTAAGAGCGTATAATGACTTCGATTAATTCTCTAAAGAATATCAGAGGAGATCGAGGCTATATTGTTGAGTGCAAGATGGTAAAACTTGGATTGCTGGGATTTCATTAGATGCGAAAAATAAAATTCCATTTGCATCAGTTTAGGAAAGAGAGGGACTTTACTGGTGGGGACTGCAATGCAGTGGATGATAACGGGTGGATGAGACGAAATTTTTGTTGAGAGATCATATAGATCGAACAGTGATGTGAAAAAAATTCAATTGTGAATAAACCCCTTCTAAGAGATCATATAAGCTTGCAACAGAGATCTCTATCAAATTCTAAACCAATATGATTTAATGAAGAGAAATTGATTCAAGACCCTAGGACTTGGTACAATCCAGGCTCTATGTACAACAAAAATGGAGTGCAAGGAATCAAATGGAAATATAAGTACCAAAATTCTCACCAACTTCGCTCTCCCTTGCAGTTTGAGGTTCTCCTTTACAAAATCGTGCAACTACCCTCTAACTTGCTTAAGACTAATGCTTCCATGCCCATTTGCTGCCAAACTCCCACCAAAGCAGAACAAAACTATTAAAAAAGGAATTTGGACCCAAGAAGACCGATTGTATCGTTTCTGAAATACGTGATCCTGATATGAAATTGATGCTTCACTGTGCAGCGACGGTGGTAGAAGAGAAGAACCTCATTAGGAAACTTGAGAGAGACCAAATGCAGATGACACCAAGACATTGAAGGACATTCAAAAGTGTTCCCAATGAGCTGTTTATTGCCAAATTGTGTGAGGTTGTCTCAGCTCCTCTGACTGTAAACGACAGAGCAGTCACCAGTTGTGCTGCTCTATTCAGCTGATGCAATCTATAAACCTGTCAAGCACAGTGAACATAAACTGTTTGATTCACAGGCCCGCACATGCACACAACCATAAATCAAATATAGGAGGCAGTTCATATCATTTCATAGTTTTCAAACACAGTTTAAGGTGAGTGGTTGATGCCCATATACATATAACCTATGTAGACAGGCTGGAATTTTAAGAACTATCACCCGATAGGATCAAATTTTAATTTTCGCAAATTCCATAACCAAAAACTGAAAGAATAGGATTGGCCTTACTTGAAAGATGACTGGGATAACAGGCCATGAAGGTGACTTCTTATATCTTGCACACTGTTCAAATGCAAATTGGACCACTATACCAACCAGATATGGAGCAAGAGTAGCAGAAGCTGCAGGGCCAGTCCACGGCCAGACATAACCCATAGTCACCATAGGAATTATAAGACTAAGCACCAAAGCAGCAACAGATGAGATCCGCTGTCCTAATTGAGGGGTGAGGGTTCTGTTACTGGGGGCAATCAATTCTGGTTCAGTTGGCCTCCTTAAATGGTCAATCAGAAGAAGGAACACCGCAACACCACTGTAGAAGATAGCTTCCGTAAAGAACAAGATGAGGAAATCTGAGAAAGAAAAGATTATGGTTTAGACAAGAGAAAAAGGTGTATTTCCTAAGCAAACAGAACTAATGAGTTTTTAAAGATAAATGGAATGTATTTTTAAACATGAAATCAGCCAAATGTTTTAGTACTCTTATAGTCTTTAAGAACAGGCCAACTTTTTTCAAATTTCCAACACTCGTTTAGTTCCCAATAGTTGAACCATCAACAAAACTGCTTTTCCAATCCACTGAACCACATCTCATGTTACTTCTTAGAACTTCATGTCATTATTCAATATTTGCATTCATGTTCCCATTGATTATTGCCCTTCCCTTATAGACATTTCTCATCCTTTAGTTATGCTTTCATCGTCCATCTATATCATATCAATGTTAAGATTTTCTAATCTACTTGCTAGAAGTAACACAAATATGAGGAACAGGAAAGTTGTCTTGTTATCTTGAGATTTTGTCTCCTAACATATATCTATGTACACCTTTGCCGATAACAATTTAGTGTCACTTGCCCATCATTCAATTGAGTTAGGCACATAAACTTTCATCATGATGAATTCACACTAAAATAGACTCCATTGAAAACCCCCAGGATAGTCTTACCCAAAATCAATAATAATGCAACTTGCAGCATAGAGAAAGTGATACCCAGCAAGGTGCATACATATATATGTTAGGAGACAAAATCTCAAGATCAGGGCAACTTTCCTGTACCTCCAATTCTATGCAGATACTGTGATTATAATTGTACTTCAAAACATGTGGCAACAAATATCTGGACTTGAAAAACATAAAATCACCGCAAAAATATGCTTCCTTACCTGTCAACAAAGAATCCTCAAATACAGTCGATAGGATTTTTCGCAGATAAAGTGAGGGGAAAATGAAAGACGCAAGAAGAACAGCTGGACCAATGAACCATAAGAGGTTGTTTTGGTTCCTTTCTGGATTATTTGTAGAAACTTCTTCTTCTCTTTTATATGGGCGGTTATAGAATGAGATCAAACCCGGTTTTCCATCAGTCCCATCAAAATGGAAGTATGAACCACTAGCTGGAAATATATCTTCGGAATCAGGACGATGGTTCTCTTGCTCTGCAGCATCTGGTTTTATCTCACTATATTGTGACTGGTCTTCAGAAACAGCGAAGAGAACACTCTGACTCTTTGGGATTCTGTTGCTTGACTTCTGTACTCGCTGTATGAATATGCATGACTTACCTACTCAAAGAAGCAGAAGAAATAGATCAAGCATATTTAGAGCAGTACGAACCAAACTCACACTTTTCAAAGTAATGTAATTACTGTTCATAAATGGTTTGGCAATAAAGTTAATGAAAGTCAAATTAGAAGAAGTATCTACAATCAAATAAAGTCCATAGGCTCCCTTCTACAATTATACTACGATTCGAACAGCATGCTCAGTACCTCATGGAAAAATCAAACTTTATGCTGACTATATTAATCCGTAAAGCAGAATTTCAAGACTTTACTAATTATAGAACAAATATGAAAGCTACCTTTAGCATATCTTAGCTGCTGAGCATCATGTTTTTGGCTGCAGTACGGTGGTCGTGATAAGCTCAACTGTACATGAAAGGAAATAAATTATATAAACCGAAGACTTGATAGAACTCTTCTACAAGGAAGCTGTCTTTTGATACTTTTCATATTAGAGTTGCATGAGACAACTAGAAGTGAAATTTATAAAATAAAAATAATAATAATAAAAAAATCCTCAAGAGTAAAGAATTTGGGTATAGTTTATTTCAGCTTAGAAAAATGACTCTAATCAGTCAATAATGGTAAAATCCACTGCACAGGGTGCATTTCTAATCTACATGACTCTGCATGACTCCTAGAAGCTTAAGCTCAGTAGTGGTAACATAAGTAAAAAATATGCTTCATGCGTGCAAGATAACCCAATAAAGGCTATGAACTAATACTCGGATATGACATAATGCCGCAATATCCTTCTAGCTTCTCACAAAGTCATGCCTTAAGCGAAAATTTTGAATACTAAAAAGAATAGTGCAACCGAAATCTGTCCCAAAATAGAATCTTTAGCATCAAAATAAATTATTTCTTTCATCCAATAGCTTAAATAACTTATATCAGCACACTACGAGGGAATCTTAGTAATGATATCAAATTTTGTCTCTTTTTCTTTTTTTGTTGAAACTGATGTTTGTAGAATCAATCTCACCTAGCAATTCCAAACCTTTTATCTATCAGAAGCAACCCCAGCACACATTCAAACAACATATGAAACATTAAAAAATAATAAAAATTTGGGAATACGAAGAACATTTTCTGAGTAACCAAACGGGACTATCACGCACCTGGGAACCTCTTCTCGTTTGGCAATGGGAAACAAGAGAAGTTGCCAAACAGGAAAACGAAGAACCAAATTTAAGCGCCATATCCGAAAGCAATAGCAAGCCCAGACTGTCGGAGACTCAACCACGGCATGCTGCGGGATTCTAACGCAAACCCATTTGATTCGACGAATATCTAAGGGTACCCATGAAGCAAATTTTCCGATAAAAAGAAGGAAAGGGTGAGAAAGTGGAGGAATTCGGAGATACTGAGGAGTGGGCTTTTGGAGTTATTCAAGGAACAATGAAGCGAAAGAGAGCGGCTTCTTTTGTGTCTATTCGGAGGGGTGAAGCGGGTGACTATATTTTGGACAAAATCCTATTCCTACGTTGTCTGTTTATTTATGCCGATATTTCGTTTTTATTTCCTTATTCTGTTTCTCATGCGATATCTCTCTTCCTTTATTTTCTTTTCATTTCTATTTTTTCACAATCTTTGTTCATGTTGTTACAATCTCTTTAATGGTATCAACCATGGTCTCAAACAACAGCTAGGCAAAAAGTAAATAATGAGTGGTGATTTCTCCACTCCTATTTCTCCTATTTTATCCACTTACACTCTTTTTTTATAACTAAAAAATGAGTATAAATGGGTAAAATAGGAGTGGGGAAATCATTACCCTAAGTATAACAACATCCAAACCTGATAAGTGACTTGCTACAAGAGTTGAAAATACTTTCTCATTATGGAACCTCAAAAAACATTCGCGGCAGCTGAATACAGTACATAAACAAAACAATAGGGACCTCATCCAAAAATAAGAATGCTGCCTCATAAAAATTACAGAAACCGGACAAATCCGCTTGTCATGATCCTCGACTAGCTAGATATCAAGAAGAAACCCGATCTAAAATGGGGTTGGCTGGCTCCATGAAAGAAACTCAAACTTTTAAACCATTTCTGGAGCAACTCAAATTTCAGCCACTACTCTCACAGAAGAGATTCTTCGGATACATTTAGATAAGATTAGCCCTCTTTAAGAATCTGATTGTTCTGCAATAATATGGCCATATTGATTCTATAAAATCAAGGTACTTCTCCACTATTAACTCTTGCAATCCTTTCAGCTTTCTTCTGGATAGTTTCTTGTAGTCTAAACTCTTAATGTTCAGTACAGGTTGCCAGAAACAAGCCCGTATGTCCTCTTTAAGCTTCCCTTGTGCAATGTATCTATAGGCCACCATGTAGTAAGTGGGTAAGTTCTTGATTACTTGAACAGTCTGCTTGAAGCTGAAAACATAGAGTGCACACAACCACTGAAGCATCTTGATGTAGAGAGCTACAATGAGGGGTCCCAAAACCCACAAAGGAGTCAACTCCTTTGAAACTTCAGCACCATAAGTAATATTAACTGCCAGGTACCCGGGGATGCTGCAGATTAAGTGTACAATCAAGATCAACAATAATAATGTGCAGAGTTATCAAGCTGTAACTTTTGCAATTTAATATAATGGTGTAGGATAAAAGAAAAACAGATCCAAGAGATGTTTCACATTTAACTGCATAAAATGTTTGGAAATTATTGAACAGACAAATCCAGCAGTTGGAATACACACACACAACCTATGGACAAATTCATGCAAATAGAAGAATCATGGATGTGAAAAGAAAAAAAACCCTCACAGACCAGACAATGAGAGAGAGAGAGAGAGAGAGAGAGAGAGAGCATTATACTTACAATAGAAGTAAGGGTATCTTTATTGTAGCATTTAGACCCAGAAAATTGGACCAAACCATCCTTAGAATCCCATCTCTTTCCTTGTTTTGAGTATCGTGCTCAGTTTCTGATATCTCCTTCGGAGGCGGTTCCTCCTCCAAAATCCCATCTACTACTTCACATGATGATTGTGTTCGGAGCATTCTAAGCCATTTCTTAAATAATTTATGAATGACAGGGGAAGAAGCAATGCTCTCATTTGCTTCAGAGGCATAGGAAAGAGGCATATCATTTTCCTGAGGAGATCCCGTTAGGGTATCCTCATTCTCTTTTAGTTTGACAGAATTCTTGGGAAGCTTTGATCCACTTGTTCTACCTCCAGATTTATCATTCTGGGCACTTCCCTTGAAGGCTGAAACTCTCAAAGGTTTGACTTTTGATCCCCGCATGAGAGAAGCCCCTACACTGTGAAACAAGTTCTGAATTTAAATGATCAAGTTATAGAAAAGTGTATTAGGTTTGGGTGTGTGCATATGTGACTCTCAAGAGCACGTGTGGAGGAGTTTCAAGAACATGCAAAGTGGCAGTCACAAAGTTTAGCTGATAGAAGACTACAGAAAAATAAATGGAACAAAGATAACAGACTTAAGAAGGAAAAATTCCCACCTTAAACAAATATTGCGCTTTAACATAATGCAATTGTCTGTCCTCCCAACCATGTGATGTGTTGTTACATACTGCTTCAACTTCAGCCCTTTGCTCCATGACAATGGTCTAGAGGGATATGTCACATAAGAACCCTGAAATGCAAGAAGCAAAAACAATATATTTCAAATTTATTTTAAAGGAAAAACAAACCGAGAAGAAGAAACTTCAACAAATAGCCATGATTTAAATATGAAAATGGTTATTAAACAACTAGAGAGTATTTCAGTAATCTCACAACAATAATTAGTAATTTAAAAGATTTTACTGGTGATGATTTGACAAAAACAAACACAATCCTGAAAACACCATTAAGTACTCAAGATTCAAGAGATAGGTGCGGTAAAACAGAAAACCAGACCTCCAAAGAAACTTCTATATCATACGTTAAACAGATACCATGTAAGATTCCAGTCAAGGTACTCGCAAATTACCTGCATTTGATGGGTCACCAATGCCATCGTCTCTGCCTCAACAACCAAATCATTTACTCAGCAGGGCCTAATTTGATAAACAACCAAAAATGAGCACTAACTCTTGCAGCGAGGCAAACAGAAGGAACAATTTAACAGCTACAAATAAAACACACAGATACAAGCCCAACTTCAGCATGTAACCATAAGTTTTGATAATCAAAATTAAAAACATCAATTCCTCTCGAGCAAACCTACTACAAGAAGTTTTCAAATAGAAGAAAGCAATTGTTCAAATGAAGGAAGAAACAAGATTAAGCATTAGCTTGAAAACTCCTTTTCCTTAATCTTTGCCTCGAAATTCCTCAGCTAACACCAAACATAGGACTCCCAAACGTGCTAAAGTACCAAAATTTAAGCTAAATTTCACCAAAACAACACCGAATACAAAGCTTTAGAGTTTGTAACCTTCCCATTTTCCTCCATTACATAGGAAACCAAACAGCCTAATAATCACAGGCTCACAAAGCAAACCCTAACTAAAACAACGAAATTAAATATACAGAATTGAAAGTGAGAATGAAAGAGAAGTATGAGCAAATTCAAACTAACCTGTCATGAGCTTCCCTTAACGAAAATTAGTAATTTCGGGATAAATATAACGAGGGCTTTATCTTTATCCCTCCCAATTAGATTTCTATAAATAGTGTGGATAGAAGAGAGAGAGATAGACAAAGAATAAAGAGGAAGAAGGTCTTCGACTCTTGGAGGTGAATTGAGGGCTTTTATAGGGATTTTTTTTTTTAATTTTTTCACAGCGGGATGTGGATGATAATGAAGCACGAAAAACCAGAGGGTAAGGTAAAGCCGGAGAGGCAACCAGGGAGGTAGTTGATAAAATTAAAAGGGAAACGACACCGTTGCCCAGATGTATAATTCGAGCAGCTAACTTCGGACTGGGTCGCTTTGTTTGGACTTGGGCCGTTTAGACTTCTGGGAATCTAGCTTCATGAAATAATATTCCCTTATGAAGATGTGTTAGAGACAGTCGCTCACAACTATCAACCACCAATCGCTTTTTAAATACTATCCTCAACATTTCTCTTCTCTAATCAGATAATCAATATTGTAAAATTTTCAGATAGAATTTCACTTATTAATTAATTTTAATTAACTTTTAATAACATAACATATTAAAGGCTTGTTTAGGAGTGATTCTACCTAGAAATCACTTCTTCATATGATCACGTTAGTTTTAAGTGATTTTATGGACAAAAACGCTTAAAATCACTTAAAAGTGATTATATGGAGACACCCGTGGAAGGTGCTTCTCCTTATAAATGATTTTGGCTCTCCTAGAATCACCCCTAAACGAGCCCTAAAATATCAACCACAATTGAATAGTGTCTCAAAAATCAATTGCCAAAGTTCTCTTCTGCAGGGGAAGAATCAATCCACTATTGCAACTTAGTTGGAGCGTCTCTGAAGCTTGTGCATTGTCCATCAACAAATGATTATATTCGAAGTGGTAGGAGGCATCTTTACTTTCTGACATTGCGTGATGCGTTTAAGTAAATGGCTGACCCTTGATGTTGTGTTCGGAAGTCACATTACAATTTCCGAATTTCGAAAGTGGAGATGCATTATATTGTGTGGAAAGAAACCAGCGAGAAACATTCAAAATTCAAATGCGATGTTTCCGAGAGCAACAATTTATAAGAAAAACAAGAAAGGAAAGGAGCCCCTGATATATTCACATTATATAATTTTATTTTTGGCCAATAAACAACTGTGAAGATGGATCCTTACTCTACTTGTCAACAAACAAGGTACAACCGTACAAGCCAAAATGAAAACCAGTCAACAAGATATCGAGACTAGTTTGATTGAGAATTATAAACTTCCTCTAATTTCATTCCTTCCTGCCGGCTCCATATTTAGAGCCAAGGAATTATGGGTCACTAAATAGTAAATACAAAGGCCGGAAGAAAGATGTTGAAAGGGTTCCTTAGGAAACAAAGGGTGACCGAATCACAATGTTTCACATCATATTTGAAATGAAAAAAAAAAAAACCATAAATACGCCACATTCGACTACCTCCAAGCAGCTAACTAATTTAGCACCATCAACTTTGCCGGAAGCCCTGCTCAGGGGGCGGAAGCCATCAGTTGTCCATTTAACAAATATGAACAGTTGCAAACCAGCAGCCCTACTGCTAGAATACCCAAAAACAGCGCGATCTGCCACTGCTAACAGTGCAAGAGTGGGAAA